TGTCACGGTCCCGTTTTTCGTGATTGGCGAAAGCGATACGCCCTCTGTGGACATATCGCTTTCGCCAATCACGAAAAACGGGGCCGTGGCAGCTCTCAGGCTTCTCTCTGGTTGGACTTTGGAGCGTCGTAGTTCATGAATTGGCCGGCAAACACGACTGCGAACAGCGCCCATGATATGCGAAGTCCATTTTGGCCTACCCGGCCTACCCTCACCATTAATTTAGGCAGGAGTTCGGTCACCTGGTCTCTAGTCTTTTTAGTTTACACAAATAACATAACATAAAGTACGCAGGTTAAGTTCCTTTATTGCACTAAAAACATATTATTTTCCTCTCTGAAAATGAATTCCGGAGAATCTGATAGTGATTCTAACAGCAGGTAATACAAATTATTGCTGCTATTGCTGCTAATGATTTTTAACAATAATTGTACCTTCAATCATTTAGATCTTTGGAATTCGAACAACCTAAGACGAAAAAACAAAAAGTAAAATATGATCAGAAATATAAAAAAGAATGGGAGATGGAAGAACCTTTCAAGAAATGGTTAGAATCAGATAAAAAAAATAAATGTGGTGCTTACTGTAATGTGTGCAATAAGACAATAAAAGTGAAGGCGGGTAAAATGCAATTATATAGACATATGGAAACAGCAATGCATCAGCGTTTCAGCAAAAGTATGAAAAAACAAGTTAACCTATCTGACATAACCAAATCTTTAGCCAATCAAGATGAGTTTAAGAAAAGAGCTGATTTATATTTAGTAGCATATATTACAGAACATAATTTATCGTTCAATTCGATAAATCATCTTCCTTCTCTAATTAAAGCAATTTGTCCTGAACATGAGAATGCAAAAAAAATTCAATGCCATCGTACCAAATGTACAGCAATAATAAAAAATGTATTGGGCAAATACCAACTCCAATTACTAACACAATGTTTAAGAACAACTACTTTTTCATTAATCGCTGATGAGTCAACTGACAAAGGTTGTACGAAGCATCTTGGAATAATTGTCAGATATTTTGATGGTGAAAGGTGACTAGATGACATATTCATTATATTTAATATCTTTTTATGACTTTAGTATATTAAACTTACATTGAAGTATTTTACTTTTCAGAATAAAAGACTCGTTTCTTGCATTAATACCTATGAAAGATGCAACGGCAGATGACATTTATGAACAAATTATTAAATTTTTCAAGACGCATAATATTCCTAAGAAGAACCTAATTGGCTTTGCCTCTGATGGAGCCAATGTAATGGCAGGCCAGAATAATTCTGTGATGACTAGGCTGTGATAAAGGCAGAAAACAAATCAATTTTTTTAATGAAGTGTATCTGCCATAGTTTTAGTTTGTGTGCGAATTATGCATGTAAAAAACTACCTAGGTGGGTGGAAGATCTAGCAAGGGATGTGTACAATTACATTGCTGGCAGCCCCAAGAGAAGTGCTCTTTATCAAGAATTTCAAAGCTTTACTGAAACTGCAGTCCATAAAATTCTTCACCCTGTCCAGACAAGATGGCTTTCACTTGAATCGGTAGTTTTAAGACTATTAGAACAATATGATGCTCTAAAATTGTATTTTGTGGACGCTGTTGTAAATGACAGATTGTTAGCGGCAGAAACTATTTTACAAAAGTTAAATGATCCACTATCAAAACTTTTTTTGCAGTTTTTGAAATTCATTTTGCCAATATTTAATAATTTAAATAGAGAAATGCAATCAACTTCTCCACAAATTTATCATTTAAGAACCAAAATTGTAGGGGTATATAAAACTATACTGGAGTGTTTTATAAGAAGAGATTTAATTTTGAACTGTGTGTGTGCAATTGAAAAAATTGACTATAAGAATCCACAAAATTTTCTTAAATTGGAGGATGTTTATGTAGGTGCAGAAAACTACGCTTTTCTGTTACGTCCTGATAATGGAATAACAAAGGAACAAGAAGTTTTTTTCAGAACACGATGTTTAGATTTCTTAATCGAAAGTGTCAAGCAGATCAATATCCGATTTGATTTCGCAAATGATGTTTTACTAAAACTAGAGTTGATTAACCCTGAAAATGTTAAAAAGGGCACTTCGACTTCGATTATTCCCTTGGCAATGCATTTTCCAAATTTGATAATAAAAGAGGATTATCAGAAGTTAGATTCAGAATGGCGGCTACTAAGAAATACTGAAATCCAGAATTTCAGCGACAATGGCGAAGAGTTTTGGGTTTCAGCACTGAAAGAAAAATATAATGACGGCACGCCAATGTTTGGAACAGTGAGTAAGTTTGCTATTCAATTACTTTCTCTTCCTCACTCCTCCGCAAACGTTGAAAGACTATTTTCCCAAATCAATCTAATAAAAACCGATTCAAGAAATTTGATTTCATCTGCTACTCTTTCTGGACTCTTACATACAAAACAATACTTAAACGGTAAAAGTTGCTACAACTTGCCTATATCAAAAGAGTTATTTAAACTACATTGTAATAAAATGTATAAGAAAGATAAAGACTATGAAATATTAACTGATTCTGAAGCTAGCGAGACTGAAGATTAAAGAAACAAAAACAAAGCAATAGTAACATAACATTAATGTTATAATACTTCTAATTTTCTATTTAACAATGTAAGTGTTACGTATAAAGCATTACATTGCAATAATATTACTGAGGAATAACATTAATGTTATGTTCCTGTTACTGTAACTTTGTCTTCTGGAAAACCATGAGGTATATATATTTATTTGTTATGAGTATAAATTAATTCTAATTAAGAATTACTACAAATAATTTTATTTTTATTTACTGCTTGAGATTATCGAGTGTTGAGTTGTTTTAAGTGTTCGTATTACTTATTAAAATTTTCTGTTAACTAGTTTTACACGAAATACTTGTAAGACTCACAACTAAATAAAGACTTAAAAAAGCTACGAATACAATATTTTTTATTATAAGTATAATTTATTAGAAGTACAATTCCTTTTTTATTTCCTATTGAGTTTTTAGATATTCGTATTATTTTGAATATTTTTTTCTATTCCATGCTATTAACTATAGTTCCATGCCTTATTAATTTCATGTATCGACATATAGGCTGGTATTCATAGTCAGCTAGCTCTTATATTTAAGACCGTTTTAGGTTTATCTTAAGATGCTGTATGGATAATTTCATTGGCTATAAAGTATCTAAAGATGATCTTAAGACGATCGTATATTTGAGATCGTAATCTTTAAATACTTTATAGCCAATGAAACGATCCATACAGCATTTGAAGATGAACTTAAGATGGTCTTAAATATAAGATCTGACTATGAATATCGGCCTATACCTATGTCTATAGTTTCACGTCCTATATTATACGAAACTTCTGAAATAATAGATCTACCGTTTTAAATTTCAAATCTACCGCTTTTTGGCGTGCCATCTACTGTCCAATTTTTCAGGCACCTGGCAACACTGTTGATCGATCAGAAGCTCAGAAATATGATGTCTGGGAAGAATGACTGGGTGTCGCTCATTGTAGCGCAAAGCAGAGTTTGCGAGCCGCCCGCCCAGCCGGATTAATTGATCTTTCCCGATAAAGGGATTAAGAGAGCGTAAAGAGCTCGTACGTGATACGGCGTTATGAGCATTCAGCGCCGTCCATTCGTTAGGAAAACAAGTCGCTTGAACCGATCGAAGACAAAAGACTGCAGCGTCGTGAATTTCAGACGCGGTCAGGGGCGTCGTAACGATTGCTAACGAGGCGGCTTTATTTTTTAAGTTTTGAACGTATCGACGAACGTATGCCGTAACACGAAGAAGTCGGATCCAGCTCGAGTAGGAGGTGAACAGATCCCCCTCCGGAGTTGGATCGACGAGATGCACGGTAGCTTTACGAGCTTCTGACGATACCGTTTGCAGAATGTCAACTGCATCAGGCATCGGGAGAATCGGCCATGAGGCCGGCGAATTTTTGAGCCACGGAGGGCCGGACCACCATAATTGGTGGTGAACGAGATCGGAGGCGGTAGAACCGCGAGAAGCGCAGTCGGCAGGATTGTCGTGAGAACGAACGTGCTGCCAACGGACTGAGGGAAGGCGCGTCTGCACCTCGGAAACGCGATTCGCGACGTAAGCGTTCCATTTGGATGGATGCTGCTGAATCCATGCCAACGCGATTTGAGATTCGGTCCATCCAAATAAGGGAGCTCGATTTAAGCGCGTAGAATCTCGTACCCACTCGAGCAGACGAGTCAGTAGAACGACGGCGTTGAGTTCAAGTCGTGGAACGCTGACGGTTTTTAATGGCGCGACCTTCGTTTTGGCCGCGATGAGGTTCACCTGAACGTATTACGCGGTGCACGTCTGAGAGTGCACGATTCGGAGATAAACTACGGCGGCGTAGGCTCCAATGGACGCGTCCGCGAATCCGTGTAATTCGACTGCGAGTTTATCTTGACGCATCCCTGTCCATCGGGGAATGCAGATTTCACTAATGTTAGGCAAATCTGAAAAATAGTTGATCCACTGCGGCAGAAGATCGTCGGGGACTGGCGAGTCCCAATCAATTTTACGGAGCCAGAGCTCTTGCATTAACATCTTGGCCGCGATGACGATCGGTGACGCCCAGCCGAGAGGGTCATACAGCTTCGCGATAAATGATAGAACGGAACGCTTGGTATGAGCGGTCACGGCGTACGGCGAAATCACAAAACGAAACGAGTCATCACGCGGAGACCAAGAAAGTCCGAGAACTTTGAGCGTGTCATCGCGATTGATGGGATAATCCGAGGATCCGCGTTGATCCTCCGGGATATCCATCAAAAGTTCGGCTGAATTCGCGGCCCATTTTCGGAGAGGAAAACATCCGCGATTCATTAAACCGACGAGTTGCTTGCGTTTGTCGAGCAGAGACGGAAGGTAGTCTGCTCCAAAAATAATATCATCGACATAGGTCGATTCTTCGATTATCGAAACCGCTTCGGGAAAATCTTTACCTTCGTCGCGAGCTAATTGCAGAAGGGAGCGCTGTGCGAGAAACGGAGAGGGTTTTTGGCCGTAGGTCACGGTGAGTAGGCGATAAAGACGAATCAGCAGACTTTCGGGAGGGCGCCAAAGGATGCGTTGAAAATCTACGTCGTCTGGATGCACGAGTATTTGCTGGAACATTTTCGCGATGTCTGCCATGCACACGTAAAGGAACAGACACCAGCGTAAAATTATCGCAGCAATGTCTAGTTGCAGTTTCGGTCCTGCCATCAAATAATCGTTAAGCGCGGTGTTATCGTCTGATTTGCTCGACGCGTTAAACACGACGCGTAATTTTGTAGTGGTACTTGATTGGCGTAAGACGAAATGATGCGGGATGTATACCGGGGGTTATGGAGAGCGCTCATCCGCGCGCACCTCCTCCATGTCCCCCATAGACAAGTATTCGTGGAGAAAACCGTGATACTGAGACGCGATCTCGGGCTTTTGCGAAAGTCGGCGTTCCATTTTAGAATAAAAAATTGAAGCCTTACGAAAGGTGTCGCCTATCTGAGGGGGACCGTTTTTAAACGGCAAACGCACAATGTAGCGTCCTTGCAAGTCGCGAGAATGCGTAGCAACAAAATGCTTTTCGCAACGTTCTTCCTCCTCCGTGAGAGAGGTTCGAGAGGGGATGCTTTCATCCTCCCAAAAACGTTGCAACAAGGAATTCGTATCCTCGCAGGATACGCAATTCAGAACGGATGCGGATTCTCCGGCTGGGCGCGCGGAGCCGACAGGACCGGAGATGATCCATCCTAAAACCGTACGTTGGCCCGTCGGCGTGCCGACCGGACCTTGACGAAGACCGTCGAGTAGCAGAGATCCGTATAAATCCGCGCCGATTAATACGTGAATCGGGTGATTACTGGAGGGATCGGGATCTGCTAACGGCAAGTCGCGTAAATGCGGCCACATTGCGGCCGGCTTTGTCTGAGAAGCTGTATAAGCTGTGATTCGCTGATACACGAATCCAGAAAAAGGGAATATCGGTCCCTGCTTGTCGCATGGCGCGAGCGTGAGATTAACAGTGCACCTACTTTAAATGTGCGGCCCTCGATCGTACTTAGCCTTCCATACGCAGTGGCGAGAAGTACGTGAGGCGGCGACGTAATAAAGCTTCGCGCAGAATGCACTGTCTGAACGGACGCGAAGAGCGAGGCCGGCGGCTCAGAGGCAGCGGCGACTGACGCGGTAGCTTGCGAGGAGAGCGTCGAGTTAATCGCGGAAGGCTCGCATCTGGTACCACCCTCCGTACTCTCGCTGTGAAGCAGCGAATGATGAGCTTGGTGGCATCGATTGCAACGTCCTTTACTCGGGCAATTACTTAAGAAATGTTCGGTTCGCGGGCAGTTAAAGCAGCACTTATGCTGTCGCGCGACGAGTCGACGCTGCTCGACCGGCAGACTCAAAAATTTATTGCACTTTGCCAAACTATGATTTCCGGAACAACGAACGCATTTTACAGGAGACACATTATTGACGGAAGTACGAGCTTTGTTTCCGCGCGCTAATGCGGAAACAAAGCTCAAATTATTCGACGCAGAGTCGGATTGCGAAGGGTAATCCGTGAGACCGCGAATGCGAAGAGTCATGAAGTCATGAATCTCTTTGTACGTAGGATACGCATCCGTATCGCCTCGTTCCAAGTTCCATTCGTTACGCGTTCGCGGACTAAACTTTTGCGAGATAATATAGACGAGTAGATCGTCCCACTGCTCGACGGGACGCTCGAGATTCGCTAACGCGGCGAGAGAAGCGGATACATTATCGCGAAGTTTTTTCAATTCCGGAACGTTCTCGTTTTTCATTTTCGGTAAGTCGGCGAACGAATGGATATGCGCGTGAATAATCGCGTTACGGTTATCGTATTCGTCAAGTAGAAGCTGCCACGCTGCCTCGTAGTTAGCGTCAGAAATTTGTAGGTATGTTACTGATTAATTTCGCAGCCTCGCCGGAGAGGCTCGCTTTCAGGTAATGTAATTTCTGCGTTTTCGTTAATGATTCGTGTTTGTCGACGAGGGACAAAAAAATGCCACGAAAGTTTTCCCATTGCGTGAAATCACCAGAGAAATCCGGAAGCGAAATACGAGGCAGATGCAGTGAAAAACTAGTGTGCGCGTCGCGATATGATGACTCGTTACCTCGATACGGCGCGCTCGGGGCGTCGCTACTCAGTTTACCGATGGTCTCGTGGAGATGGTCCGCTGCGTCGAAGTAGGCTTCCTCAGCGGCAAGAAATCCCTCTTGTTTGAAGTAGGGGGTCGTCTTCTTTTCCTCCGCTGTAGCCGTCTGCAGCAGCTGGATGTGGAAGGCTTGAATCTTCTCCCACAGAGCCTCCAAGTTCGTCAGCCTCCCCTTCGTTTTGGGAAGCGTGATCTGCGCTTTAGGAAGCTTCTTGAAGTTGACCAGCGCCCTTGTGAGCTGGTCAATTGAGTGGGTTTGGGAAACGAGCAAGCTCTCCAGATCCGAAGACATGGTCGTTGGATATCTGGATCGAGGCGAGGCGCGTCAGACACGAGCGTGTCGATTTCGTTGTAAAGCGAGGACATTCAACACGTCTCGGCGATGACTCCGCGGCGAGAAGCAAGGCGAATTCTCGCGGGAGGCGAGGACGTCGGGCACGTCGCTATAATGACTCCGCAGCGAGTAGCAGGGCGATACTCGCGGGAGGCAGGGACGTCCAGCACGTCTCGGTGATGACTCCGCGGCGAGAAGCAAGGCGAATTCTCGCGGGAGGCGAGGACGTCGGGCACGTCGCTATAATGATCCGCAGCGAGTAGCAGGGCGATACTCGCAGGAGACTGAGACGTCCAGCACGTCTCGGCGATGACTCCGCGTTGAGAAGCAGGTGAATTCTCGCGGGAGGCGAGGACGTCTGGCACGTCGCTATAGGGACTCCGCAGCGAGTAGCAGGGCGATACTCGCGGGAGACTGAGACGCACAGCACGTTACACTGCAGAGCACTTGATGCACTGGTGGTATTGTTGCTGAGCACAGATCGCTAAGCGTGCGATAAACTGAAGTGGTGTTCGCGCACGAGGCGAGTCGAGAGAGCGCGAACGTTTTCGGAGTTACACAACGCGATCACTTAGAGGCAGTCGAACCGTTTATGCCGTTTCGATTATGACTAATCCGGCTCGAAGGACCATAAAATGTTAGTGGACCGCTCTGGTCGTCGCGCGGTGATATCCGAGGAAGAGAGAAAACCCAGCAGGTTTTATCGTTAGATATAAAAGTCACTTTATTCGAAGTAAACTGTGTCGCCCCACTGTACAATGTCACGCTCGTTAGAGGAGACCTCGCTTGGCTCGACGCCGGTTGCACGCGAGAGATGATCGCGAGTTACGCGCTCGGATTGTGCTAGCGGATTTCAACGCGTGTCGTGTGCGTACTTGTGCGAACTTCGGGTAATACTGAAGGAGAGGGGCCTCCTTACCGATTTTGATGAAAATTTACAGGATCGTGTATTTTTGCCTGTAAATCACGAATCCGCAAGTTAAAATTGTCGCTCGGCACTAATAACAGAGTTATAAATTGTTAAAGTCTGACAGTTGTGGGGTTAGGATACCTGTCTTATCGACACCTACCGACACTATACGGGAGCGGTGTGGTGTACCACGTTTATATCTGACATAGGGTGGGTAGGGTTATTTTTAACGAGGTGAAGCCCCCCCGAAGGGGGGGCGGAACATACTGTCTCCTCGCATGTACTTCCGCCGTTGTACTGTTCCACAT